GTAGTATAATAATATATTCGTCCTAAACTTAAGTACCCACAGAAATGTCGCATCTGAACATATTAATTTCATAATCTATATTCAATGATACGAGATGGCGTCTTAGGAATAATTTGCTTTATTATTAATTTATAATACTTTTTTATTGAATAAGTATCTTATTAACCGATGAAAAGTAATTCCTTGGTTTTTACTGACATTTCTTGAATTATTTGTGCAATATCTAAGTACACAAGACGGCATATTTTTATCAAGAGATTTTTTTTAAATCAACACAACACGTGACAACTCTACAAGCGCCTAGCGAGTGACTGATTAAAGTGCAGTGCATGCACCGCAGTTGAGTGGAACAGAGTAGCTGAATGCAGTGTCTCCTCTAGTACGTAGTACATAATAGCTCAATGGTTTGAATCTAGTATTAAAGAAATGGTACGTGAAGGTAAGCTCAACAAAATTAAAACTATGAGACAGAAACACAAAGTTAAGAAAAGAAAAACAAACAAACAAGCTCTGGCAATAATTATGAGCACTACGAAAAATTCCTTAAAAAAACTACACCATACTCGTACTAAAATGGACTAATATATTTACGATAATGTCAACTGTCAAAATGGCGTCCATAAAGTAGCGCACTTTTGACATTAGAGTTATTAGTTATTACATACATACGTAAATTACTTTGAGCTTTTTTGATTTACAGCTATCGTATCACAGTGCCATCTATGCAAACAAGGCTGTAGTTTTTGAGTTATAAGAAAGTGAACATATTAACCGGACGACCAGGTTACCTTCACGTACTATAGTTGTAGTAATGTCAATGACGTTACTAGAATTATTTTTAAAGAGATGAGTAAGATTGGAAGTAAAGTAAAGTAAAGTTACAGCCTATATACGTCCCACTGCTGGACACAGGCCTCCTCCCATTTCTGGGAGGGTTTTAGGGCAAGGAATAGTCTTCGAAATATTTTTTTTTTCTTATTTCTCAGACATGCAGGTTTCCTCACGATGTTTTCCTGCACCGCCGAGCACGTGGAAAATCAGTACTTAAAATTGCATTTAACAATTTCATTGTTGCCGGCGGGGATCGAACCCGGATTGCTCGCGTACTGTGAAATTTACAGCGAGCGCAAACCATCTGAGCTACCACGGCTCTATTTAAGATTGGAAACGTTAAATAAATTTTACGCCATTTACGCCAGACGTATATTAAAATACCCAGACGGAGCAAAGGGAGCAGTGACATAGGTGCGAAAAGTCTGGAATTAGGGCTTAAAACCGAAATGCCGGACAGACCAGCGAGCTTAGCCGGACATTTTGGTAAAAAGGCCGGACACCCTTATTTGTTTGTCTTAGTATAAGAATTTTTTAAAGTAAAACAATACTTTTTATCATTTACCGCTAAATCTACTTAAGTTCTAACGAAATAACAATTGAATAAATCAGTCTTCATTATTATTAATAATTCAATATTCATTACAATATTAATTTCAATAATAGCAATACTACGTACGTAAGTATATGAAAAATGTAAAGAAATGGTCAAATTTAAGAAGCCTAACAAAAGCCGGACACGGTCTAATTTGGCCGGACACGTAACCAAAAAGCCTGACTGTATGCAAGACGTCCGGATAAAGCCGGACGCTTTATCCGGACGTCTGGCAACGCTCCCTGGAATAGGAAATGCCATAACCGACAACGAAAATTAATATCCAATCTTACCATCAACGGGAGTAACGGAACGAAGAGAAAAAGGACCAGATTATTCAGGAGCTGGCAAACACTCATAGTAATGTATTATAATTTTAATTAAAGAGGTACAATATAGATCGTTTAAGGACTTATTATTATGTGGGCTATCTATATAGTTTTCTCATCTGGTTGGGTTCTATAAATATATAATTATAAATTAAAATGAAAAGATAAATATACATAAATATAATTAAAATAAAATAAATACAAAAATACATAAATAAATAAAAGCCCAACCAGATGGAAGCCCTCGGCAGGGGAGACCAAACGGCCGAGGGTTAGGGGGAAAGGGAAGGAAACCGGCGGACGATGCGGGCAGTATCGAGGAGCACTGCCTTCTGCATTTGAGCCCGGAGCGGTCCGTCACGGAGTCCCAGTCGCCTCAGATGACCCGAGAGGCTGACTGGGATTAGCCCATTCGCAAAGATGACTACAGGAATAATTTCGGCCGGCAGACCACTCCACATGTCGGTCACCTCGTGAGCCAGGTCCAGATATTTTGTTCGTTTATCTGTCTCGGCTTTCACGAGGTTCTCGTCATACGAAATGGTAATATTGACCAAAAATATCCTTGACTGTGCCCGGTCCATCAGCACATCTGGCTTATTCGCAAGAATAGTCCTGTCCGTGATGATGGCCCGGTCCTAGTAGAGCCTGGCACGGTCATTTTCGAGCACGGCTTCCGACAAGTACTTTTAATACAGCAATTTCCGGTCCACGAGACCGTATTTTAGAGCGAGCTCCTGGTGTAGAATTCTGGCTACTAGGTTGTGCCCGTGCAAGTACTCAGAGTTAGAAAGCGCCGAACAACCGGAGATGACATGCCTAAGTGACTCCCCGGGATGGCGACAAGCTCGACAGACGTCGACAGTGCCATCCTTTAGGATGTATCTCCGATAGTTGTTGGTCTTAATAACCTGATCCTGTATTGCACAGAAAAAACCCTCGGTTTCCCCGAAGAGGTCACCGAAACGTAGCCAGTTGAGGGAGGCGGCTGTATCTACGTGGGGCTCATGTAGAGTCCTGTAGTATCTCCCGCGGAGCTCCTTCTCCTTCCATACGGTCTCCCGGTCGGAAATGCTCTGTACTGCCGGGTCCTGCCATTGCTCGTTGGCTAAGGATAGAGGGGAAAGTCCTTTATCACTAGAAATGACGTCATTATAGAATGGATCATCCGATCTCGCCAGGAATTAATGACGGAGGCTGCACACTTCGCGATTATGCATGGTGAGCGCGCTCAAGAAGCCACGCCCACCATGCTTTCGCGGCAAGTACAGCCTCATTACCGACGATCTCGGATGATGCATCCTATGGGACGTCATTGTAGTGCAGACTTTTCTATTCAGGGCGTTTAGTTCAGTCTGACTCCACTTGAGTATGCCAAAGGTATACATGAGGACAGGCATGACCCAGCCGTTATATGCGTGTGTCTTATTCACACCGGACAAAAGGCTGTTAAGCACTTTGGTCAAGCGTGCACAAAACACGTCGCAAACTGACTGTTTCATACCAGCCTCATCGATACCGATGTTCTGTGACATACCCAGGTATCGGTATGTTTCAGCCTCAGAAAGGGTCCTTAAGTTGACGGGCATAGATAAGTCTATGCCCTCAGATTTAGCAACCCTTCCCCTTTCAACGTGGAAGACCGCACACTTATCCGTCCCCAGCTCCATTCTTATAGAATTGCTAAATTCACAAGTGATGTTTAGCAATTCCGTAAGATGGGAGCGACTGGAGGCGAATAATTTGAGGTCATCCATATAGAAAAGGTGGGTCACTTTTGTACTTCCTTTCCGAAGCTGAAATCCCCTCCCGGAGCCCTCCAGTAAAGTACTGAGAGGGTTCAAAGAGAGGCAGAACCAGATTGGACTCTGACAGTCGCCCTGGAATATACCCCTTTTTATCCTTATGCGGCTTTCCGCAGCCGTCATCCACTCTTCAAGATGACAGAGGATCGTACTCCACTGCCCCATACACTGCTCAAGGAAGTCTCGAACTGTACAGTCAATCTTGTACAGCGCGAGGACCCTCTTTAGCCATGTATGGAGCACCGAGGCAAATACCTTTCTGTAATCTATCCAGGCGGCGGAGAAGTTCCGACGGTTGCGTTTCACCACTTTGCCAATGAACGTGTCAATGAGGAGTGGTTCCTTGGTTCCACGACCGCCGCCCCGACATCCATTTTGAGCGCGCGACATCACCTGATTTGAGTCCAGGTGACGAGTGATTCTCGCGCTCAAAATGGATGTTAGTGTCTTGTATATGGTCGGTAGACACGTGATGGGGCGGTATTTGCTCGGGTCTGTGGCACCCTGATCTTTAGGAACCAAATGAGTGATCCCAGTAGTGGAGAGGCTCGGGAGCGACTTCTGGTTGAGAGCCTCTTGAAACTGTCGAGCGAGCACAGCATGACACACCATGAACCCCTTCAGCCAGTAGTGATGCAGCCCGTCAAGCCCCGGACTTTTCCAGTTCGGGGCCCTACGGACCGCCTCAGCTACGTCATCCGGCGTTATAATGACGGGATCCATGGGCGTAATACCCGCACTCTGACTCGCCACAACTTCCGTCCAAGAGCCCTCGTTGTGGTTTACGGGCTCTGACCACAGGCTGCGCCAGAATGCGACCGTGTCGGCCTGATTCGGTACTGGGCCTATTCCACTTACCATTGGTCGCTCCAATGATTTATAGAGCCTCTTCTGATCACTCTGGAAGAGACGATTCTGGTTGAACAGTGTCAACCTCTCGGTATATCGCCGAATCCGCTTTCCCCAAGCAGCGATTCTCTGCTTCAGGTCGTCTATGCGCTTCGTCAGTTTTTGCATTATATCCGGCTGGGACAAACTAACATTTGTCCCCGCAAACGGCATCCTGACGGTGCGCATAATCCTTGGCCTGGTATTGCCTGACCTGAAGCATATCAGTCTGCCGAATAGGGCCCTAGCCCTTGCGATACGTTCTTCAATTCTTGTTCTCCAGGCTGGGATAGCACTACTTTGTCCAGTAGTGCGTCCAGCCGTGGAAAGTTTGGCGCTTATAATACGGCAGACTGCCAGTACGGCGACAAAGAGAATTGAGTCCGTCTCGGAAAGTTCCCGGCTGGCTTCCAAATAGGTCACCAGCATTGGGTTCAGAGCCCTCACGATAGCCCGATTCCGCTTGCTGAGGGATATGCGGGGAAGTCGCGGTCGATTTTCGAGAGGCGTACTGCGCGTTTCCAAAATCGCCTCATCCAATGTACTCCTCATTTACTCCAGTTCCAGTTCCTGGGTGACTGTTCCATCATCGTTTGAATCAACCAAAACTGGGGTATTCACGGCGGCATCCACGTTTGCCGGTTGCTCTGCAAGTTGTGGCGCCGCATCCTCAGCCGTAGCATTTTCATCCGATGAAGGAACAGCCCCACGTCGTAGCCGTTCGAGTTCGGTGACATCAAATGTATTTGAGCGCAAGATATACCGAACTCGGTCTGCCAGGTTTTGCTCGGTGACGGTTACAGATGGCTCCAGATCAGCAAAAAGGACTTGGATGATGGATTTGACTAGAATGCGCAAAGGGCTGCTGCCTGGAGGATGCCAGGGCGCGTCTGGAGCTGGCGCTGAACGCGACAGCATGCGAACCACCAGCCAACGAGCGCGAGGTGCTGCACGACCACACAGCAGCCCCTCGCATCCATCATCCCCACCAGCTGGCTTGGTGTCGGCAGGGTCTCCGCGGGCCCAGCAATCGGCACCCGCCACTGGTGGAGCACGCCGCATGCGGAAACAGCAACGCATTGCGGGCGTATTTTAGGGCGAAAGGGGGAGAAATTGGAGGTTTTGCGTATCGGGTAAGGACTTATTATTATTATTATTAATAAAAGTACTTAAAAATAAATACCCTTCCAGATGAAATAATAATTATTAATCATTTATTTTTCAGACTCGGGTTCATGTTGAGTTCAAGTATAGGTACAAAAAACTGTACACGAAAACGATGTAAAACTTACCTAAGTTTTGTATAGTTTTTGTGTTCAGTTGTCGGCGTTAGTTTTGTTCGCATTTACATAATCATTTTAAATTATGCTAGGAACACGCCATATTCTTTATTGGCCACAAATAATAAGAATTAGCATTAAAAAGGCACGCAAAAAAAAACAAAGGATAATGCATGCAGCCTGTGAGGAAAAATTAGTAAATCAATATAAAAATACAACTCTACTTTTGAAAGGGATTTTTTTCAATAATGTCCTTTAGATCGAACTTCGGTCATCGCAGCCAGTCTAGCTATCTGCGTAAAATCGTGCGTGGTCTGACGGCTTAACTTGTGTTGGTCGTGCGTGGTTTTTCCTAACTGGTGGTTCAGCTTGGTGGATATTAATGAGAATAAGCACTGGAAAGACCAGATGACATCTATAAAGTCGGCGTTCTCAGTCTCACTGACCTTGTCTTGGGGTACGGTTGCCTCGCTGAGTAGGTATAAACATAGAATACTATAATACATACATAATAGAACGGGGAAGTGGGCGGAGCCCGCGTAGTCAATAAAATGTCACTAACACGTCAATTCACACGTGTAAATATCAACACGAGATGTGTTTTGACGTTACAATCGTTTTTTTGTTATTAACCAAAAGTCTAAAATGTTAAGTGTTTAAATAGCAAATGTAAAGTCTAAAGTGTAAAGTGTAAAGTGTAAAATATGTGCAAATGTAAAACATAGCGTAAAATATGTGCAAATGTAAAAACATGTGCAAATGTAAAGTCTAAAGTGTAAAGTGTAAAATAAGTAAATGTAAAGTCTAAAGTGTTTTGCTATTAACCAAAAAGTCTAAAATGTGTACATTTAATGATTTCTTATATTTAATCAATGTGTAAATTTACTCAGTCTGTCAACACAGCGAATCGGGTTGGCGACGCCAATCCTCGTATAAAATAAAGTTGAAAGCCATTCTATTGTGTATTATAGTATTCTATGGGTATAAAGTAAAAAGACGATGCTTCAGCTACGTTTAAATTGCTGATGAACGATTTCATTTATACAAACATACTCCTTTGTATCAACAGACAACATTTTAATACTACGTTTTTGAACACATTTTGAATTCTGTAAATGGCTCGGTGACAGTTGGCGACATTTTGAATTTTTCGTTCGGTGACTAAGGTGACACTTAATGCGGATGACCTTCTGACTGCTTTTTCAATACATTTCCTGTAATATTGAAATTATCTGTACAGGATATCCCTGTTTGTTTATAAAACCGACGTGATCAATGAATTTATAATTCGTCTGAAGTTGATCTTCAAAGGAATGCCGCTAAGCACGGTCCTGAGTCATCTGCATCCATCAACTGCATGTTTTATCAGGTCACTCCGTGTAGTTAGGGAAGCCCTACACTCAATAAAAATACACTTGAATTCCAATAGATGACAGCAAAACATCTCACTCATACTATCAGACTTTTTTTTATAGAATGAGGATGACACATGAGCACACAGTCCACCTAATGGTAAGTGGATGCTGTGGCTCATAGACATCTACTTCTATTCTCGATTAAGAAGCAAAATGCAGATGCGTTGCCACCCCAGAAGACTAAGATGGAATGCCTCGTTTCCAGTAAAATGTGTCTCAGGTTCTCTACACTCACCATACGAAACACAGCAGAATTAAGCTACTATTTGACGCTGTTATTCTGTGAGAGAGTGGTCCTTCCCCGGTCGAGCGGACCCAGCCGTGCTACAGCTATATTATAGCTGCAGCGTGGCTCTACCACGTGTACTTCACTCGTATTTAGTTTTTTTTTAAATAAAACGTCCAGAAATAACTTGTTTATTGATTCAAAATGTTAGGTAGGTATATATGCCAACTTAGAGCAATTATATTACGTACTCAAGCAAATTTAACCAACAATTTTGTAGCACAATAAATTATACCTACATCAGTGCTTAAATTCATCCGTTACTCTCACATGATGTCATTGACTTATGTATAATATAATTAATATGGTTCGATTTTTTTATTGGTGAGAGCCCGATACCAGGATACTAGGAAAAGCCTGTACGACTAATAACCAGATTCATTAAGCAGTTTGATATTTTAGCGACTTCAAAAAGGAGTAGGTATTCCATTCGACTGTATATTTTTTTATGTGTATTACCTCAGAACTTGTGTACCTACGACTGCCTCGTTGGTCTAGTAGACTACTACAACAGAAGTGCGACTGCTGATCATAAGGTCCTGGGTTCGAATCCCAGGTCGGGCCAAAAAATTAACTATTGAGTTTTATCGGCAAGAAATTCTCAGTAATTGCCCGGAGTCAGGAAGTTGGCGGTGTCTCACCCCCGTGCCTCAGAAAGCACGTTGGTTCTGCGCCTGATCTCTCTCCGGTCGTGTCGGTTTACCGTACCATCGGATTATGAGAGTGAGGCAATATGGAGTACACCTGTGCTTGCGCATACATTTGGGCACTATAATCCTGTCCTGCGCCGATGGCTAACCTCCGTTGAGGCAGGCCGCTGTGACCGAAATTCGGTCTGGAGGACATTAATTAACCTCAGAACTTATTTCTGGATGAACCAATTTTGATGGTTCTATTTTTATTTGAAAGCTGGTGCTTTTCGTATGGTCCCATGTAAATAAAATCAAGTTTTGACCGGTAGTCTTTGAGTTATTCTTATATAATGCGTATTTAATTCACTTCGAATACTTCGATTCGGTCGTATTGAAGTAGGTTGCACAAAATTTTTAATTTTACCACTTTTATGGACGACACACACGGTCAGTTCAACTGATCATTCCAAGTGATCAGTTCAAACTAGGACTGTTGATATTTTCGAATTATAGGATTTTCGTTATATCGATAAAAAAAACTTATATATAAAACTTCGATATTGATATATTTATAACTGTCGATATATCGAAAATCTTATATTAAAAAAATATTAACAATTCTAGTTTGAACTGTTCAGTTGGAATGATCAGTTAAACTGACCGTGTGTCGTCCATTAGATTGATAATATAGACATTTTTCTGAATTTTCTCCTAATACTTTATTATTATTAAGCATAACTTCATGGTCTTGACCTGATTTTTTTACGCCCAGAAGCAAAGTAGGGCTACTCTCCGGAAAGCGGGGGAGGGAGGTGGTGAATGCTCAAAGCATATCACAACAAGCGTGTCACACAGCCGGCTGCGTGCTTATGTGGGACTTCTACCCATTAAACACCACCTGTGAGACTGGTTTAGACCTGGTGAAAGATCTTTTTAACCGTATCGGAAGCGAACCCCTTGGGTGAAAGGGGAGAGCAGGGTCTTGACCCGCTCAACCGAATAGCTGTATATAGTAAGTACGTTTTTTTATTTTTACGCGCGCGCCAAAAAAGTTTTTAAGCAAATTTTATAAAGGATATTTTTCTTATTACTTGAACTACTCTACTAAAGGAGAATCGTACGAGTCCATTACCAAAGAAAGAAAGAAAGAAAGAATGCTTATGTTAAACTAGCCGTTCCTCGCGACTTCACCCGCGTGTAATTTAGAGTTTAAATTTTTTTGCGCGGAACTCTAATTATTTTACTAAAAACAAAGTAGCCTAGTAGTACATTAAAAACGTATAAATTGTATAAATAAAAATTATAATGCACGAATACCGTGTTCGAATATAATTAGTATCTGTATACTAAAACGTTAACCACTGGGCCCTCGCATTTTGGACGCTTACAATAAAAAACAAAAAATATTGTACAAATTCAACAAATCAAGAATAAATTATGTATAACTAGCTTGCCAGACAGACGTTGTTCTGCCTTTTTTGACTATCTTTTGTCATGTCCTATAAAAATCCTTATAATTGCAAAAAAATGTGGGTCACTCATGGGAAAAAAAAACTATCCTATCTCTCAAGTTGGAACAAACTGCACACGGTATTCAAATTTGATTAAAATCGGTTAATCAGTTTAGGAGCCCATCGCGGACAAACAACGTGACACGTAATTCATATATATTAAGATAATTAGAATAGCACTTCGTGTAAATCTATGGAGGACGCCCCGCATCTACCACGGTGCTCTGAGGAATTGTTAAGAATAATTCCAGCCGCACAAATTCACAATCGCACATCGTGACAAAACTCGCGTATCATCCATACCATTTGGATGACTGACGGTCAACCACTGTGCGATTTAGAAGAAGTTTTCTTCCTCGCACAACTTCCTTGTGGAATCGACTACCACCAGAGATTTTTCCAGACCGATACGACTTAGGGACCTTCAAGAAAAGAGCGTACTCCTTTTTAAAAGGCCGGCAACAGATCTGTAATTCCCCTGGTGCTGCGGCTGTAATCACTTAACATCAGGTGACCCGTATGCTCGTTTGCCCCTGTCCTATAAAAAAACTCCCATATTCAACTGGGGGACTTCTGATGAGCTGAGTTGTGTGTGTCAGCCAAGAATCAGCTTATAAATAAGAATACTTAAGTCCAAATATTTATATCGGTAATATATTTTTTTTACATTTGTAAAAATCGTTTTGCAAATGTAATGTAGAAACATTCTAATTAATGTTGTTTCAAGACTAATTTTGGCCAATTATCGATAAAATGCAACTCACAACGCTATTAAGGAAAAAATTTTTTTAAAATATATATAGATTTTTAAAGTCTCGATAAACACGTTGCAAATAAAATCGATTTTGTTTTAACTTACCATTTTGCCTAGTAGAATCCATTGCACACCAATACAAAAACAATATCGAGTCTTTTACGCAGTAGTATCTGTTAATTATTATGATAAAAACATTAAGAAGCCGCGCCGTTGTGGCGATATGTAAACAAATACTGAGGGCTTACGATATTATCGAGACGCCGTGTTCGACTGTTGTTTACTAGTAAAGTGCAGATGCCTTTCGATATAAAGATTGGTGTAGGTCATTGAACGTACAAAGCGTTGCGTTTCTTTGCTTCGAATTCGAATATAATTTATTTTTCAATAACAGCCAGCCATATGCGCTAGGTAGTAAAACGCTCTTTCTACTTAGTAGTCCACATAGATAGGCTAGCACTGCTGTATTCTGGTCTGAAGGGTAGAGAAAGCTAGTATAATTACAACCTGAGCCCTGAGAGGCATTTTATCTTAGAACTCAGAGGTGATAACGTGTCTTTAGCCTTCTTTGTTTAAAGTTAGCTGCAGGTATATTTGAACTGCAACAGCCACGCGCAGTTTTTTTAACTTCCCGCTAAGAAAATTGAAAATTTTCAAAAATAGGGAAGTTATTAGTTTCACCCCGATTTTCGAAAATCGAATTTTCACCAGATCTCGACTTTTTGAGATCCCAAGAAGCTATTCGGACTAATTTCACGTGGACGTCCGTACACATGTATGTGTATGTATGTATGTGTGTGTGTGTGTGTGTGTGTGTGTGTGTGTGTGTGTGTGTCTGTGTGTGTGTGTGTGTAACTTTCTCTTATAATTGGGTGGTGATAATATGAACTGATCCGAATAAGTAGATTTTGAGAAATCTCATGTTATTTTAGAATAACTTTTAAGTTTATGATTCAACTCTTAACCTCAAAAAATGACGTCTAATGCCGTTTGAAAAATAAAAATCGGTTTATTAGTTCGTGAGATATACGTTTCTTTAACATAACTTTGAGATTTGGCAATATAATTTGGTGAAATTTAGAGCGCTTTGCATTTGTAATTAGCGGGAAGTTCCAGGGATGGCCTACAAGTTCAACCAATTTTTAGATTATAAGTTCATCACTTCAGTTTTTGGCCTTGCTTGGCAACTATGGTATATAGTGGTTTATGTTGGTTTAGACTGCCTCTATGGTCTAGTGGCTATACACACGGTTGCTGATTACGAGGTCCTGGGTTCGGATCCCGGTTCGGGTCAAAATCAGTAATTTAGTTTTTATGTTAAGAAATTCTCAATAGCAACCCGGTAGTCATAAAGTTGGCCGTGTTTTATCCCATCCCTCAGAAAGCACGTAAAGCCGTGGGTCCTGTGCCTGATCTCTCTCCGTTTGTCGAATAACCGTACCGTATGAAAGTGAAGGAATAGAGACTATACCTTTGCTTGTGTATACTCTCGGGCACTGAAATCCTGTATATAGATGGCTAATCTCCATTGAAACTGGGCAATCCACTGAGACATCCTGTGATTGCGTACATCTATGATCGTACATAACAATACGTCAAGCGTCTACGGAATGATTATATTCTCATCTATTAGAAGCCATAACATTTAGTCATAGATCTAAGAGACGAAATGTGATGGTGACCGTTTTCTTATTAGACGAATATAAACAATGTCACATAATAGCTTCTGAAGTCAGAACTGATTTTAGAAGCTATTAAGGTTAGTCGCGGCAAGTGCGGCAGAGTATTTTCAACGTTAATTTTGCAATTGACTAATTTTTTTTACAAAATTCTGTTTATTGGTTAGTAGCTTCGTCAATCCCTTTTCTTTGTGAGATACTAACAGTTTTGGTTATTTAAGGAGGATTTTCGGGTATTTCAACATTTGTTTTAAATCTTAAATAAGGGCAAAAGCGGCAGCAAAATATACGTCTGTATTCGACGCGTATGTTTTTGAAGTTAAAACTTCTTTGAGAACGTTGTAATTTGATCCATGAAACGAAAAAGCCACACCAAAAAGAGAAAAACACATAGGTACATCTATAAGATTGGGCCTGCTAGAGAATGAGATTTTCTATTATGTATAGATATTATACATGTGATCATATGTGAGCAGTAGGGATAAAGGACGAAATTTGTTGACGAAAAAATAATTAAGAACTTACTATGATGGAATTGAAAACTTGGAGTCTCTATAATATGTAACGTAATATATGATGTGTAATATATAATAAATAAACCCTACAATTATCCTACTCCTGATGAATGAGACGGATGCACTCTGCATCCGTCTCATTCATCAAGTCTCATCTCTCGAAGTTTAGTTTTCTGAAGGTTTCTCTTGTACTACACACACATATTTTTTTAATGTATTTTCATTGATTTGTCGAAAAATGCTAACTAATTTAAATGTTTTGTTTTTTATTGAATAGGTCATATCAGGGGAGAACCACTTAAATTTGAAAAATAAATTCATCATTAAGGATAGAAAAATAGGGGATGAAGATTGACGTGTTACTATTTAGTCAACATTCTGATTGTTAAGTTGAACTTTTGGTTTTGTAATTTTTGCACACCACTTAGTCTGTTCAAAAGGGTAAAATAATTAAACTTAAAAAAAGTGCTTCTAAAGTCTGGACTTTAATCCATTTATACACTATGTCACACATAATGTGGAATATATTTATTTCGTTTTAGTTTTTAAATCGGTACTTTATATTAAAAGTTTATATATTTTTGTGTAACTATATACGATTAGATTGTAGCAAATTTTTATCGATACCAAAATTATACCCGTCACTAAAAGAAACACATTAATTCTGTAGGCCTATTCCGTAACCGGTTCTCAATTATTTAACTTTTACTATACTAATCGGCACATAGTTAGGTAATTACGTCTTTATGACTGTAACGAGTTACGTCATTAGTGTGATGATAAAATTGTAGTAACAGTTAAAGAAACCAATTAAAAGGAGATTCAATCTAAACGAGCAAGGCATAAGCCTTTTCTAATTTCGATAAGAGTTTTGGGGCAAGGAAATGTCCGCCTGGCCGTGCCCCATTGAGTGTTGTCGAACTTCAAATGTTTTTAAAATGTTTTTCTTGTTTCTCAGCAATGCAGGTTTAATCACGATGTATTTCTTCAGCGCATAGCATGTGGTAATTCAACACTTAAAATTGCAAGTAACAATTTCATTGGTGCCGGTGGGGACCGAACCAGTTATACTCGCGTATGTGAAATTTACAGCGAGCACTTAGCCCTTTAGCTACCACGGCTCATCGGTAAAGGTAAAGGAAGAGAATCGTAAGAAAACCTACTTTTTAAATAAATCGGAGACATGTGAAGTCTGCCAACACGCATCACAGCGCCGCGGAGTCTAACTTGTATAAATACCTGGTAGAGCCTTGCATATTAGTAGTATAGTTGTAGCAAGAATGGGTCGGCTCGACCGGGGAAGGACCACGCTCTCACAGAATACCAGCGTGAAATAGCAGCTCAACGCCGCTGTGTTTCGTATAGTGATCGTAGAGAACCGGAGACCCTTTTTACTGGAAACGAGGCGTTCTATCTTAGTCCTCACGGGTGACAACACATCTGCATTTCAATTCGTAATCGAGGATAGATATAGACGTCTATGGGTCGCAGCAACCACTTACCATCAGGATGATTGTGTGCTCGTTTGTCACCCTATCCTATAAAAAAGGAACTTGCCCTTAAACCCCTTCAGAAATGAATGCGGCCTCAGCCCAGCAGTGGTACGTGTAGGCTGGAACTATACAAGTATAACAGTTATCTGTACACAAGATCCATTCGTGCCTAAGGAGATATTACAGCTCATTAGGGATGCTCATAAAGGAAGTTACGTATGGCTTTCCTGATATTTATTCGAAAGAGAGTCGTAACCCTTATGCGCAGCTCCAATAACATTCTGATGGCAATATCTGATAGATTTGAGTATTCTCTCCTAGGTGACTGGATAATCTTATGTGGTCTGAAACTTTTTGTGATACCTACGGTCCGTCCCGACTTCACACAGTTGATTTCTGGATCTTGACAACGGCGCTAGGTGATCCCGTAAATACCTCATAATTTTTATCAAAATCTGTCAGTACGCACACCAACCACATATATAATCTATATTATACTAGCTTGCCAGACAGACGTTGTTCTGCCCTTTTCGACGACCCTTTGTCATGTACTATTAAAAATCCTTAAATTCGCAAAAAAAAAAACATTGTGGGTCACTCATGGACAACAAAACTATCCTATCTCTCAAGTTAGACTAAACTGCACACGGTGTGCAAATTTGATTAAAATCGGGTAAGTAGTTTTGGAGTACATTGCGGACAAACAACGTGACACGTAATTTATATATATTAAGATAAAGATTTATTATTAGGTTAATTGAATTACTAACATATTAATGGACGATATGCCTTAAATAAATTTTTATTTACGAGCGATGCGCCCCTTTCTTCGCACTTGTGATTTTTAGATCTCGACAACAGCGCCATCTACCGGGCTCAAACGTGAATCTAAAACATATAGGGATAGGTCTTTGAATGGTTCAAACACACACAAATATTCATCAAAATCGGTCGAGCCATTTTTGAGTTTTAACGAGACAAACGGACTGTATACACCGGAATATACTGGAAGACCTTTTTTACCCTCTGGAAAAAATTTGGGTGTAACATGTGAACGGAGTACCTAGAAGCCTATGGTACTGATATTTTACAAAAAATAAAAACAAAAATTTTGAATTAAATAAATTAATTAATTAAAATCTATCGAAATTCAAATTATATCGTACATACTCAGAAATTTTGAAAAGAAAAACCCATTAACTGTTTTGGCCCGATTCGAGATTTGAGCCCGGAACCTCATTTTTTTATAGTATACGGGTGACAAACGAGCACACAGTCCACCTGAGTCCTGATGGTAAGTGGATGCTGTGGTCAATTATTACATTATATATACATTTAACCTCGATCAAGAATTAAAATGCAGATGCGTTGACACCCCTGAGGACTAAGATGGAATGCTTGGATTCCAGTAAACGGGTCTCATTGTCTGTCACTAGACAT